TCAAAAAATAAGCAAGTCAGGGGGATATAATATACAGCATGGTGACTATAGTTAATAATACCGTGTTATTTATTTGAAAGTTGTTAAGGGAATAGATCTCAAAAGTTCTCATCACAAAAAAGTTGTAACTGTGTATCACAACAGATATTAACTAGACTTGAGATGATCTTTGTGCAATATTCATAAATACTGAGCCATCATGTTGTACCCTTGAAACTAACATTATATGCTAGTTTTGTCTAAAAAAAATTATGAGTGACACACACACATAAAGATGGAGATTTAAAAGCACCATAGTACCTCCATTTTTTTAACTAAGTATGCTAATATCGTCTCTATGTCATTATAGATTTTGGCCCAATGTAAATATTGGAAAATACTGAAAATATAAATATATTTTCTTACATTCAAACAAGCAATAAAACACTTAACATTAAATGAAGTTATTTCTTCTTTCCATAATTGTTAAATGCCAGTAAAAAGAAAATTCTTCTTTCTCTCTCTAAAAAGTTTCTCCTTTAGCCAGAGTTAAAGACAAAAAGATGCCATAACTAGCCTCTGTTAGAAAAATAAGGTACCTCTGAAGTCAGGTAACAAATTTTCTGCCAAGGAAACAGAGTTTGGCTGTTCCATAAGCTGGATAATGATTGTGACTTCCTACCTGCTCAACGCAATCACTTCTTCTCAGCTTTTACTCCCTTTCAACTCTTTATTGAACTCAACACAATAGATTCACCTGGTCATGAAATTTTCTTCTGCCTCCCTTGGCCTCTGTGGCATGGTCCTACTATGTATGGTTTTCTTCTTTGCTTTTTTCCAGTCTGCTTTACTAGAGCTCTTCCTCCATTGGCCCCTAAAACACAGCCTTCCTAGCTTGTTTCCGGGGCTGCCGATCCTTCTCTCCCCACAGAGTCCAATGGCACTTTTTATCCCTGTCCTTCAATATAACTTCTGTGCATGGCTTCCGTAGGTAGGTTCTACCTGTGGCCTCTCTGATCCCATATTTCTAACTTCCATTTATTAAAACACACACATACACCTTTTTTTTTTTAAACAGCTCTTTCAGAGAAACTTCAAATTTAACACATCCAGTGCTGAATTCCTCCAATTCCTGTTGGCCCCCAGATCCATTCCTCGTCTGTCATTCTCTCTTTTGGTTGCTGACGTGACATTGCCATCTCCGTAGTTCTTTGCACAATGCACTTGAACATCAACCCCCTCGACTCTCATCTTCCGTCTCTACTACCCATATCTAATCGTATACCAAAAATCCACTGCTTTGGCCTCCAGATGGAGACTGACTCCACTGTCATTACTTCTCACTTAGAATATTTGAATGATATCTTGAGATGTCTCTGTCTTTAGTCACGCCACATAATGCTACCCCAACATGTCCTAACTCTTCTAAAAAAATCTTCAGTTGGCTATACCTTGCATACAGAATAAAATTCAGATTGTAGTATTGGGACTTTGAGGCTCTCTATCATCTGGAACAATCTGTTTATCACTTTTATACCTCTTCCTCACCACTCCTTTTCCACAGGACAAGCCTACCGATCAAAATTGATTTTCCCTTTTTTCTCCCACAGCCCTTTATGAGGACCAAAAATCATCCATAGCCCTCATCACACTCTGCTTTTTGTTAGAGTCATTTGTGGTTCTTTCCCGGTTAGGTAGTGAGTCTCTGGAGGGCACATCCTTATCACATCGCTGTGTTCCCCACATTATCTTTAGTACAATAAATTAGATGTTATCCTCTGCAGATGTTCGTTGGATAAAAGCTAGTTTTATACATCAAGAACGAATGATGTAATGTATGGTGATTAACATAACAATAAAAAATTAAAAAAAGAAAAAGCTAGGTTTATACAGCCCTTGCTTCTGTTCACACTTGAATTCGGACCGCACTTCAAGAGTAACCATCTGTACAACTATGAGGTAAGGTTTCAGTGTCCATCTATCCGTTTTTTCTGCTCTCCTTTCTTGCACTTAGAGACGCTCAGTGCCTTCATTCATGTTCACTCCTGTCCACCCTGCCTCTTATTGGGGTGCCTACATAGATCCCTCCTTTTAAGCAACTCCAACTCTGAGACCCTTTCCTTCCCAGTTTCTTACCAAAACTACATGTCCCCGAGACAGACTTTAGAGTCCATTCTCTTCGTTTTGTAAATGAAGAGACAAAGGCCCAGGAAGGTGACATGAATTGCCCAAGTTCATGTGACTTATTAGTATTCTCTCTGAGATAGACCCACGGGTCTCCTGACTCCAAGACCATTGTTCTTTCCTTCACACTTTGCCTCCTGTCCCATATCTCAGCACTTTCAACTTCAGGGTGTCATTAAAGATGGGCAAGGACCTGCTGCTGACCATGTTCGGGAGGCATCTCTCTCTTAACAACAGTTACCGATGCTCTAACTCACAATAATGGATTCTGGAGAGTTCATGTTAGTACCCTCCTGTGATTATTTTGGTCACAAAAGCTGGATTATTTTGGTGTTTTCCTAGCTCCCGAACTCATACCTCAGAGAGACACGGCTCTATTCTGGGATGTGTAAAACCTGCACATTTTCTGCAATGTGCTTCCTTGTGACTGTGTGGTTAGTAATGTTCACTGTCTAACACAATCCTCCCACACTTGCAGAAACCAGGGCAGCAGAGCTCCAGCGGCATCCCCCTGCAGCTTTACAACTTCGTGGGGAAAGATTTCAGTTCATGAATGTGTTGTAATTTCTGTGAAGGGTATCTAAAGCCCTTCAAAACATTCGTGAATGAGCCTTTTCAATACCACTTGGAAGGAAGTCAGGGACTTCACCACTGAAATCAGCAGCAGTGAAATTCAATGGCCACAACCCAGGAGATATATGAAGGCCTCAGGGCAGAACAAAGGCCAGCTGAAGCAGCCAAGGGCAGTTACTGCCACCAGAGGTATTTACCTGAATAGGAACTTGAACGGCTTTCAAGGAATGACACTGTATCCTTCCAAAAAGTATCACATGTTCTCTATTCGTCCTGTAAAGCTAGGAATATAAAATTTAAATTTTATTCTCGTTTGGTATTGGTGCCATATTTGGGGGGTTTAATCACCAGGATGGGATGATCTGAAGAAACATTGCAATTTTTTAGATGGAAAATTGAAGCATTGAAAGCTTGCCTTTTCTGCAAGCTTGTATCATAGAATTACAGGTCTCTGATGCTTAAGGAACCTTATAGCACATCTAATCCAACCATGTAATTTAGAGGTAAAGAACTGATCCCTGTTAAGCTGATAACCCAGATTATCTAATTTTGTGAAAACCATTCTACTCTAGAAACAGGAATTAACGGAGTAGGAGCCTGGGCACTGAATTATATTATTAGGACTAAGTGTGTACACAGGCCTGACAGACATGAATGCTCTGGACTTCATCAATTTGCCTTCAATTAATTTCCGTCTCATTTTCTGTCATACAAAGTGGACGACCACTTTCGGTTTCCACTTTAGGTTTTGAGAAGTATGTGAATGCCTACGGTGCTTTGTGCTAACGTTAAAGTCGTTCCTTTTTGGTTTTTACTTTTTAGAAAAAAATAATGTAAATGAACTTCAAGACATCTCAGCGACAGTGACACTTCTCAGTGACACTTAGGTAAATTTCTTTATTTTAAAAAAGTGAGATAAGACACACTCTTTCAAGATGGCATTGTGACTATCCAATCAATGGACAGAAAAATGCTTTAAAAAATATAAAGTGCCGGGCGCCTGGGTGGCTCAGTTGGTTAAGCAACTGCCTTCAGCTCAGGTCATGATCCCAGAGTCCTGGGATCGAGTCCCGCATCGGGCTCCCTGCTCAGCGGGGAGTCTGCTTCTCCCTCTGGCCCTCCCCCCCTCATGCTGTTTCTCTCTGTCTCTCTCAAATAAATAAATAAAATCTTTAAAAAAAAAATAAAAAAATTAAAAAAAAAATAAAAAAATAAAAAATATAAAGTGCCCTGTAATAGAAGCGGACTACTCTATTTACTTTATGTAGGCATTCCATTCCATTTATTCCTTCAGTAAATATTTATTAAGCACTACCTGCCAGGTCCTATGCTAGATACTGTGCAAGTAAAGAGGAGTTAAATGAGATCCCAGCCTCCGGGAGTTTACAACAAAGTCTTTTCCTGATTCTGGCAACCCTCCACCCCCACCCCAACAAAACTGTAACAGACAACCACTAGGGAAGGGTCCGCTGTTACGTTCTGCCTTACCACTTTGTACTTCCCTTCCTAGCATTGTCACGATTTCAGTTAAATAGTTGAGTAATTAATTGCTTGCTACCTGTCTGCCACTAAAATCTTAGCTCCGTGGGAACGAGTATTTCGTCTCTTTTATCCTCTGCTTCATACCCAGCGCCTCGCGTGGCTGGCATAGAAAAGACGAGCAACTAATATTTGCTGAATGGGTGGATGAACGTTAGAATGAATGAAAAACCAAACGAGTGTCGAAAACCTGAAGAGTCTGTAATACAACATAACCCGTACTATATTAGGCGTGCATAGTACTATGGGAATTTACAGAAGGAGCATTCAAAAGTCCGTCTTAATGGGGCTGATTTCCAAAACAGAAAATAATCTCTTCAGTCTCTGAGGCTTGCATGATACCGTCTCCCCCCCCCCCCCCCCCCGGCCTCCCTAGAGTTTAACAGGGATTCTTCTCTGGAATATCAGGATCGTGCCAACAGGAGAACAGCAATAAGACTGGTTAAATGACCCAAAGGCTGGCATGCACAACGTCCAATTAGGTCATCACCGGCTCAAAGCCATAATGAATAAAAGGGTTCGCTCCCTGTTGTAAGCGCACAGCCGGGACTAAAGTCGGCCGCCAGCCTCCACGTCGGCGTTGGCTCCTCGGGAGGCCGCCAGTCACATGACTCGGACCGCGCCAGCCTCCGGCGCCTGGGTCGTTCCGCGCATGCGCAGCGCTCCGGGACGGCGGGCCGGAGCGCGCTGACAGCTTCCGGTTTGCTTTCCCCGCCCCTGCGTGGCTAAAGCAGTGCGGGTTCGGCGGTGGAAGCCGTGGGGTGGTGGGGTGAGGTGGGTGCCCAAGTGGGGTTCCCGGAGCCATGGCTTGCTCCATTGTCCAGTTCTGCTACTTCCAGGACCTCCAGGCCGCCCGGGACTTCCTCTTCCCTCATCTGCGGGAGGAGACCCCCTGCGGCGCCGTGCGCAGGGACCCCAGTAAGTGCGCCTAGCCTCGCCGCTCCCTTCCCCCGCCCCGCCCCGCCGCGGCCCCTGCTCGGCGGGTTCGGGTCTCCTGGCCGCCCCGCCGCCGCTGCCCTCGGGGCGCCTCGTTCCCCCCGCGCTTCCCTCCTCGCACCGCGGTGATCCCCTGCCCTCCTCGTCCTACACCTCCATCCCCCCGGGCGGCGTCGGTGTTGTCTTCCTCTCGCCCAGCTTTCTCCCAAGCCACTCGCCCTCTGGCCCGAACTGCGCCTTGCTTCCTGTCGCCTCTGCCGACCCCACTGCCCTCGCCCTCCTCCCCAGCTTTCTTTCCGAGTGCCCTCTCCGTCCCCCCCTCCCTCCACGGTCCCCTGTTCTGCACGGCTTGCTCCGTGATCGCATCCTTCTTCTGCTGCCTTGCCAGCTGTCAGCGCTTTCTCCCGGTACTGCCTCAACCCCCCGCCCTCTCCTCCATCCCTGGGACTGTGGCCTTCCGCCACCCTCCCTCCCGAAACTGTTTCTCATCGCCCAGTCTCTCTCCTTCTAGCCCCTTCCCCCCCATTCAGATGTAGAGCGTAAATGCCTGATTGACAAGTGAGTGACTCCTGAGGTGGTGAGTAAGCGTCTCCTGTATAAGGAAAACCTGTCAGGAAGTGAGGGCGAATCTCCAGCAGGAACTAAAATGACAGCAACACGGCCAGGAAAAGTTAATTTCCTTTACTGAGCTGAGACGCCTTCAACCTGTTATTATCGTCAAACAGTGTTAAGTAAGCCCTTATCCAGGTAGTATAAAATCCCAAGTCTGGTTTATTAGATACTGCATAGTTTCTCAGAATTTCCCACATTCCTCCTGTTGAAAGGGTGTGTGTTTTGTGTTTATTGGTTTCTTCGTATTTCCCACCTGAAGCGCCTTTGGTTTTGTAGTACCGTGCTTGTGCTATACTGGAATGGTGATAAAAGGCCCACTAAATGAACTCCTTCCCCTTTCTTAAATGTAGAAGAAATCAAATCAGAAGTATCTGTGAATATTTACTCTGTGCCCATCAGTAGTGCTGCAAAGCAAGTAAGTTTGGTGGTCTCTGCCATCTGGGAGCTATAGTTTACTGGGACAAATAAATTAACAGCTGCCACACGGTGTGATTGAGATATACACATATGTGTGTGTATATATACCCGTACATATGCGTATATATATCTGACACTAGCTGACACTCCTTGAAGTGGTGATACGTAAGCCCACCTTTGAAGTAATGGTTAGATGCATAGGGGAGAGGTAATAGAAGGTACAGAGGAAGGGAGGCCTGAAATGAGGTGACCTTTAGAGAACTGAGAAGAGCTGCATGGCTGAAGAGGATGTGGGGAGATGAGGCTGTGAAGGTGATAAGGAGTTTGATCAGGAGAAACCTGTGGAAGTAGTGGGATGCCTTTGGAAGACTTTCAGCAGAGAAATGACACGGTCAGTTTGTACTGGTATTCAGTTTTTGAATACCTTTTATGCACTTTGGTAGCAGCGTGGCAAGATGGGAAGCAGGGACATTGGTGGGAGCTTGTTCCAATAATCCAAGAAGCCGTGTGAGCTTGAACTAAAATCACCCCCAGGACTGGAGAGGAAGAGATAGATTGGAAAGCTATTAAGGAGGTAGAATCTACAGGACCTAGTGAAGGTGCGGTGATGGGATTGTAGCTGATGAGTGAGGGCATTGAGAATGCCTTTGACTTGGGCAAGCGTGTTTAATGAGAGGGAAGGAAGGGGATGGGCTTTGGATCTTTTGCTTGTGAAATGTTTGTGGTATGTCCAAGTGAAGGGGTCCAGTTAAACACAATCTAGAGTTCTAAATAAGGATCCCGGGCCAGAGATGTTAATTTGGGAGTTACCAGCAAAAAGGGTCAGTTCGGTCTCCAAGATAATATGCAATGAAGTGGGGGCGCCTGGGTGGCTCAGTCGTTAAGCGTCTGCCTTCGGCTCAGGTCATGATCCCAGGGTCCTGGGATGGAGCCCCGCATCGGGCTCCCTGCTCCATGGGAAGCCTCCTTCTCCCTCTCCCACTCCCCCTGCCTGCTGTGTCTCACTCTGTCAAATAAATAAATAAAATCTTTAAAAAAACAAATATGCAGTGAAGTGAACTGAATACTGCTGATGTACCCTTAGAGGAGTCTGATATTTAAGAGTCATGTAGGGGTTAATGGGAAGAAGACTGAGAAAGAGAGGAGAACCAGGTGAGAGCAATGCCCAGGAGCAGAGGGAGGAGAGGATTTGATGAAAGAGTGGTCAGCAGTTGCAGATGCAGCTGAGGTCAGCTAAGGTAGGGATGCAAAAGTGCCCATTGGTTTTAGGAAAGTGGAGGTGACTGGGACCCTAGGACAGTTTCCATGGAATGGTGGAGGCAGAAAGCGTATTTATAGGCTACTGAGGAGCTAAAAAAAAGTTGACTTTTTCAAGGAGCCAGGTTGTAAAGGATAGTGGATACAGGACTGTGGACAGGGGATGTAGAGGAAACAACACATTCTCTATCCCACTGCCACTCCCCTGCTCTTCTTTCACCTGGGCAGTGGCACCAGTCTTCTCATAGAACTTCCTCCTTCCACTGTTGGTTTCTTGTAATTATTTCCCCAAAGCAGCCAGAGTGAGCTTTTAAAGACAATTTAGATCATAACATGCCCTTTTACAACTCTTTGGCTTTCTATTGCACTTAATATAAAATCTAAAGTTCTTATGTTGTTTACAAGGCCCATGAGTTCCCACCTCCTGCCACTTCTTGCACCCCATACTACTCTCCCCTTACTTTTTTAAAAAGATTTTATTCATTTGAGAGAGAGAGAGTGTGTGTGTGCACAAGCAGGGGGAGAGGCAGGGAAAGAGGGAGAAGCAGACTCCCCGTGGAGTTGGGAGCCCACTGTGGGGCTCGATCCCAGGACCCCAGGATCATGACCTGAGCCGAAGGCAGATGCTTAACCATCTGAGCCACCCAGGTGCCCCTCTCCCCTTATTTCTTGTGCTTCATACACACTTTGTTGTTAAACCAGTCAGGCTCATTTGTGCTTGAGGCCTTTGCCCTTGCTCTTGCCTCTGCTTTGGATGCTGTATGCAGATCTTTGCATTTTAGCCACGACTTGTCTTGTTAGTCAAGTCTCATCTCAGATGTCAACATCTCACGGAGGCCTTTTCTGGTCACCTAATAGTCATTCCTGCCCCCTTGATCACATTTGTTACTCTGTCGTATTGTCTTATTTATCACTGTGTCTGTGTTGTCCCGTATGGTAGCCTCTAGTCACATCTGGCTCTTGAGCCCTTGAAATATGGCAAGTGCTACCAAAGAACTGAATTTTTAATTTTACTTAATTTAAGCTTAAATTAATTAAAATGTGCCAGGTGCGGCTAGTGCCTACCATATTGTATGGTGCAGTTACAGGTGCTAAAATTTAGGCGCATACAGGTTGAATGCTTGTCCAAGGTCACACAGTGAAGTCTAGTCTAAGGATATGAACTCAGTCCAGGCAGTTGGGGATATATAGTCGTACCCCAAAGCATCTGGATTAATTTGCAATATGCTTATGGGTTTACACGTGTGATTTAATTTAGTATCCTTTTAAATCAAATTCTTAAGTTTGTATATATTGGTATTATTGGGGCTATCAGCAATTCAAGTAGAAAATAGAGAAAGAACCTCTTAACCAGTGAGCCCCTTTGCCAAACCGATTTTTTATAGTTAAAACAGTGCTTTAATTTACAAATAAAGATCATCAAATTATCTTTTCCAACTCGATAATTTATTTGGAATTCTTGGGATGACTAGCACTATGGATTTCCATAATCACTGCGGGTCTTGTTTTGTTAAAAAAACAAAACAGGTTTTATAAAGAGCTCTTCATTAAGACAACCTGAACTAAGCGGGTAGGACCTGCCATAACCTACTGATGGTGTTTGGCCTTGCTTTGCCTCACTTTTATTAGTGTTATAAGTGATTACTGGTAAGGGAGTCATGAGATCATTTTATTTTCCTAGCTTATAGTTTTAATTTCTTATCCCAGCTCATTTCTAGGGGATATGTAAAATCAGAACAACAATAATGATAATCTCGAAGGCTTATTAGTTGGTTTAATTATTTTAATGTGGACAGCTGGCATAGACCTAATGGTACCTGGTTCCTGGGCACCCAGAACTCAGTACTACTATTCTGTATTTGAATTGCCAGAGAACAACAGTATGACGTTGTTACTTTGTGTCCTCACTTATGAAATGAGAATATCTTCTATGACTTTAAAGATTTTATTTGTCAGAGAAAGAGAGCGCACACAAACAGGGGGAGTGGCAGGCAGAGGGAGAAGCAGGTTCCCCGCTGAGCAAGGAGCCTGATGTAGGACTTGATCCCAGGACCCTGGGATCATGACCTGAGTTGAAGGCAGACACTTAACCGACTGAGCCACCCAGGTGTCCCTCTTCTATGGCTTTAAAAGAGATCTTGAACCCTACTATTTCCCAATGTTTACATTAGTGATAACTATTAATAATTGTTTCTACTCAATCAGATGCTATTTCAGACAAAAAATTTGGTTTCATACTTTGAAAATTCAGAGATGGGTAGTAGTAGGGGTCCCCACACAAACTACGGTGGCATAATTTCCAGTGAGACTGGATTTTTAGACCAGAACTTTCTGATATTTATAATTGAATTGGGCAAAAAAAAATACATGTACAGAGAGAGAGAATCAGAATATTTGGAGGGAATTACAGTATTGTGGATCTCCTAATTTACTTGATAAGAAAGTAATTTCCTAGTGACATACTAAAAAAGTAAGGCAGCTTTCCTTCTTGCCTCTTTTACCAGAAAGATAGAAGATAAATCATGCAGGGAATTACTTTGGCACCATCAATTAAAGTCATGTTTTTATATAATCACTGAGCAAAGTGTGCTTTTTAGGATAACCTGAAATCATGGGGTCACTTTACATGATGGGATATTACAAAGGGCATAAAATACCCATTTTTTATGCTTCGTGAAAATGCTTTCTCTTGTTTG